TCAGAGGTACACAAAAATAATAATCTTTGATAATAAGAAGTCCAAAATGGATCTTAATGGAAGATGAGTCTTGCAGAATGAAGGGATGAAAAAAGGTCTGACAAATGGTTGTGAATGACCTTTAAGAAGATGTATTTTAAGTCTCATGCATTTCAATGGTCACTGCTTTTTATATCTCTTTGGAAAAAAAGTATTACTGCTGATTCCACAGCAAGTGAGGGGAAGGCAGAGAACAAACTTTTACTTTGAAAGTGGGAGAAAGGAAACATCTGTGGATAGTTCTCTGAAGAGAAATATAATTGTTTCTCATTTATAGTTGGTAGGATGCAAATAATGAAAAAAAGTCTTATTTGCAAATCCCACACAATAGAGAACAAATTTCCAGTAAATACTGAAGCACATAGCTTAGGAAAGCATCAGTGAACTTTTCTAAGTCAAAGCATTCAAAGCTGTTTTAAGCTCCTTGCCATCTTTCCAGAGAGCAGCCCTAGAGTCCTGTTATTTTCCATGACTTAGTGTCCTGACACTGTAAATTTGCTGTTCACCTCGTTTGCCCCGGAGTCCACTCAGGCCATTACTAAGGGCACTCACCCCCTGGAGGGTTGCTGTCCATCAATAAGATGCAGCAGAGCTGGGCTTAGATCAGGGGATAAAGAAGCGTGCACAGGCAGCTGCTGGAGAGAATGCCTCCACTGGGAGAGTAGCCATTGATGATCACGATTGGGAATTACATGTAGCGCAGCCCAGATTCCTCAGCTGGCAGCAGCTGTTTGTGGAAACTGAAGGAGTCTTGAAAAGAACCCCATTTTATAGCCCCTGTGATAATAATCGTGAGTGTTGCAATATAATAACACGTGTATCTGAGCCATAGCGTTCAGATGTCTCTTTGCCTTTTGGCCCCTTCTTTCCAGCTGAGTAAAGAAAGGTTTGTTCAGAGCAGTAAGTCCCATCCCTGCTTGCTGTAAAATGGATACGTGGAGAAAAAAAGAAAACATCCTCCCCCCCCAAAAAAAACAAAATTAAACCACAAGCTCTTTTGTGTTTTTAAAGCTGTTTATAATTGGCACTGTTCATGTATTTGTTATTTTGACTATGTGGTCTCAGTGTTCAAGGATGCAATTCTCACGGAAGTGTCCTCATCTCTGGGCTACAGACACAGACTCCCATTTGCTCAGTCTCCCTCACTGGCCCCATCAATCTTGCATTCCTTTTCTGCATAGTTGTATGGCTTCAGCAGAAAGGTGGCTCCATGCCAAGTCACAGACTAACTTGTGGCTCTGATTTCTGAGAAACTGGAGCAGGGTACTGAAACCCCTCCATTGCTAGGAGAACTCAAAAGCCACCCTTTTTGTGGGTTAAACAATTCCACGACTGCTTGATCACAGACTCTGTAGCTGAGCAGGTATGTCCCCCAGCTGCAAAAGTAATAAAACCTGTCTTGTATACCAAACCCCCTAGCCTCCCTTAGTTCCCACACTATATTCCTGAATCCTAGCTACATCTTCTACACCTGTTTGGCTGGCTCAATGGCAGCATATGCTAGCTGGGCTGGTGTAGTGCTGACAGGAGTTGGCTAGCCGCTGACTGCTGCTCTCTCAGTGACTGGATAAGGGCAGTCTTCCCCAGCAGAGGAATCAAAAAATCCTCCTGAAAAATAGAAATTCCATACCAGGAGCCAAAAGCCATTTCAACTTCTAGTTGGATTATGATTTTTCTTGATTCAGTTTGAATTCTGTCACTCTGTCATGTTAGTTCAGGCTCCCCATTCATCTGAGCTGGCTGTCTGTTTACCTGTCCTGACCAGAAAGGTTTGAAGGTTCTCTCTCCAGGTATGGAATCTCCAGCACACACTGGTTTGTACTACACCAATACTCCTTCCATACATATCTATCAGGAGATGCATGTACCTATATAAAGACCTGGACCTGCAAGCTGAAATGAAGAACAGCTCTTGAAGCCAACGTAGATGTGACAAGTGGCGAAATGCTTGGATCCAGTCCACACCTCAAACACAGTTTAGTCCTGATTTATTTAGCTGCTGATTTTATGAGGCAGTGTCCAGATCCACCCTTTTATAAACTTTTCTTCTAGTGGAAGACTCCAGTTGGTGTCGCTTTCAGCTGGAGGATGTACTAAACTGCTTAATGTCTCTCCAGCACCCAGGGTGCATCCTTTACTCTATGCTTTGCTCTTCAAATCTTAGATGAGTCAAAAAAAAAAAAAAAATCATATATAACCTATATAGCTGTTTCCGAAACATTTTTAAAACCCGCTTCAGGAAATGCTTAACAGTATATACATGAGCTAGGTAACTGAAACAAGTTTAACACAAGTGATGGCAGTTATAATTGTTGCATGCAAAATAATTGTGGTATTGTACATCCTTCTAGTTTCTAGTACAAGATAGGAAGCTTTTATAAATCACTTTTCAAAATGGATATCCAATTATTAAATTTGTCTTTGTGATTGTAATATGAAACATTTAATGTTTAACTTCATTGGTCTGAGAAATTATCGGTTCTGCCTTATTCAAAGATAAAACTTGAGCTTTTAGAAGCTGATATGTGATGCTTGAAATGTACAGTTGGAAATTTAGTTTAAAGTGTCATTTTTGGCAAATTATCCCTTCAGTAGCAATCCAGTTGTTCTTGAAAAGTTCCAATAGCATCACATAAAGGGCAGCTGTACAGTTCTTATATACCCTTGTTTCTGCCATAAGCAATTATTTACAGATACCAGACTGGTAATATAAATATACTGACAACCAGAACATATTAATATTACTCTGAATTCAAATAATTAAACTTTTTTTCTTATATTTACATGTGAAAAATGCTGTAAAAGTTGCTAGGCTGTAAGAACTTCTTATAACAAAGTTATGGACCTGTAAAAGTAGTGTTTCTGGGGAAAGAATTTTTAGATGCTGACATCATTTCTGTCCAGTCAAGACAGAAACTGTCCAAAGACAACCAACATACAAATTATATGGTATCACATTTTTTATATATTTGGAACTCTAGTCCCACACTTCTTAAAGTAATGAGGGTTTTGCAATTGCCTTCAGTAAAAATGAAGTCCACGCCTGAATAAGGAAAGGTTATTTTAGTAATATGAAGAATCTTAATCTATATCGTACATCCATATACTGAATATCAGTAAGGTAAACAAGATGAGAGATGAGCTTTAACTCGCATTTTATATATGGTAGAAGCTTACTAATTCATCCCAGGTTGGATGACTGTGCTTCTAAAAACTTTTGAATGCTGATGTGTTTGAACCTTGGAGGCTTCATCTGCATGCTGATATTTTTAAGAATATAGCCACATCTATAATGAATTCTTAGTGCATCACTAATTGCAGTAAAAAGCTCCAGAACACATCACTGTGGCCTCTATAGAGTTTATGGTGAGGTTTTATAGCAGTAACTGTAAAATAGTGCTCTTTATGTAGGTTAAAAGGATTAATAAAGTACCAAGCATATACTTCTTTTCATGGTTTGGCATAATCCTTCCAAATAAACGCCAACCATTTTTTTTACTCTATATATATATATATATATTCTAAAGAGGGTTGAAAGAGAGGGGGCTTCACCTAACACTGAATTTTGATGAAGAAACCTAGATTCCAGCTCTGAAAATACTTAATTTGTGCTGAACATTAAATGCCACAGAATCACAGAATTGTTGAGTTTGGAGGTCACCTACTGAGATTGTCTAGTCCATCCCCCTGCTAAAGCAAGGTCAACTAGATCAGGTTGCTTAGGGCTGTGTCCAGTCAACTTCTGAATATCTCCAAGTTGTATACTCCCCACTCTCTGTGGGCAAAGCATGTCTTATCTCTGGACAAGCATATCTCACTGTGTTTGCAATGACATGCTTGAGATTAAAATATATAGGTTTAAAAAGTTAAAATATATATATGGCTATGTGTCTCCGAGAGGAATATCATGCAGTCCACCATCATACTGGGAAGACACTGGTGATACTTGCAGAGATCTTTCCCAGGAGAGTTCAAATATAACTTCAGAAATATTTGTTAAAAACTTTACTGGTAAAAAGATTGTTCTATCCAGAGAAGTCCACTTCTGTTAGATGCTCACATAGGGACTTTATTAATATCTATAAATCTTCTTACCAGCCATTCATTAAGTATTTCACATTCTGTTAAAAAAAAAAAAAGAGGCTAGCTAGGAAAGAACATTTTAATTTTGTGATAAATCAGAATGACTATAAAGATTTGCTCTATTCCAAGTCACAGTATGAAAGGAAAGCTGGGTAAAGCAAGTGTTATTTAACACTAAATAATTTCATTTCCATGACTTCATCGGACTTACATATCAGCTATTCAGAAAATAGTCCCAAAGAGAGTCTTTAATTTAAACTGTCTGATGTTCTTTTGGCAGTTGCAATGAAACCAAGAGATTTGTTCTCCAGAAAACTTGGACATAGTTTTAGATGAAAGAAAAAGGGGGAGATGGATTGTTGTGTTGGTCATTTTTAAGGTGGACTTTCTTTCAAGTTATTCAGTTACTGTCAAACAATCAGTATTTTTCCTGGAAATTATTGTAATTAACTATCATCCTCCTTTGAAAAAGAAAACCTACTACTTTTTAAATAGCAGGAAATGTTCTCTGGCCACAAACACTAACACCCAGTGAAATTAATAACTACCATACCTCTTTCTGAGAACAATTTTTATTCACAGTTCAGTGGAATTAAACGTTAGAAATCAATCCTTTGCTTCAAGCTATAACTCAGAAATATTCTCAGAAAAGGGCAGAAGGGAAATGTAAATAAATAAATTTTGATTTACATAGCAAAATGAAACTCCCTTTGACTGTTTGGAGACAGAAATACTTTCAGATAAGTCTTCATAAGCTTCTGCAGGAAATGAGTTCTAGAAGTGGTGTTTACTGGAAGGTAAATGTTGCTAAGAAAAGTACTGACCCCTCTTTAAAATTTCTTTCAAAGTCAATTTTTTATTCTTTTCACTATCCCTAGGTCTGGAAAGAGTGCCAAAAGACCTTCCTTCTGACACAACACTGCTGGATTTACAGAACAACAAAATCACTGAAATTAAAGAAGGAGATTTCAAGAACTTGAGGAATCTTCATGTAAGTGTGTAAATGAACTATCATTTGCAAAAATAAAAAATAAAAAAAAAGGGTGGGGAGAAAATGGTGAATGTGGGTTTGTCCTGCTACCCAGAGTTTTAAGGAAAACTGTTCAAATACTTTGTGATCTTCCTCCACCAGCCCAGCCTATTATTTCTTCTTCTATTCATCTCCTTCTCATACCACAGAAGCTTCTCGCCTCTTTTCAGTTGCTTCCTACCTGCCTTCTGTTGCTCCAGTCTCCCAATCTCCCATCATAATTTCTCTCACCTCTTTATTGATGTTTTCAATCCCTTTGGCACAGTGACTTCGTTATTTCTATTAAAAAGAAGATCCATCTCAACCCTGCCACCCCACTCACTCTCCCACCTCTGAACTCACAGAGATTTGTATATATTTGCCAGCAGGGATTTTCTGCTAGTTTTAGTTCAAGTATCTTTTCAATTCAATGTTCTGCCCCATGAAATTGAGCTTTTGCAATAACCTTCTCCTAGAAAAACTCCATCCTCATCTTCCTTTACCTAGCAGTCTCTTCCAACACTGCTGTTTCCCTTTGCTGAAATATTTTCCTTCCCTGGTTTCTGAGATGTTTTTCTGGTTCACCTCTTCTTTTCCAAGTTTCCATCAGACAGCTACCTTCCTCTGTTTCCAAATTTTTGTTTCTCTGTCTGAGGCCCTCCTCCCTTATTTCTATACTTTTTATAAACATTTTAAAATTCATACCTCATAGTCTTGCCTCAGTTTTGTTTAAATATCTTTCTTTCTATCTCTGAAAAAGACTATTACTTCTTTGCCTTTGAAAGTAATACCTCAATTCAGGAATATTTCTGAAAATATTTTTCTGGCATTTCACCAATTGAATCTATTCTGTTTCTTATTCCATTTATTTTTTTTTCTTATAACCAATATAAACTTTTCTTTTCTTTTCTTTTCTTTTCTTTTCTTTTCTTTTCTTTTCTTTTCTTTTCTTTTCTTTTCTTTTCTTTTCTTTTCTTTTCTTTTCTTTTCTTTTCTTTTCTTTTCTTTTTTCTTTCTTTTCTTCTTTTCTTTTTCTTTTCTTTTCTTTTCTTTTCTTTTCTTTTCTTTTCTTTTCTTTTCTTTTCTTTTCTTTTCTTTTCTTTTCTTTTTTTCCTTTTCTTTTCCTTTTCTTTTCTTCTTTTCTTTTCTTTTCTCTTTTCTTTTCCTTTTCTTTTCTTTTCTTTTCTTTTCTTTTCTTTTCTTTTCTTTTCTTTTCTTTTCTTTTCTTTTCTTTTCTTTTCTTTCTTTTCTCTTTTCGCTTTGCTTTTCTCTTTTCTTTTCCTTTTCCTTTTCCTTTTCCCTTCCTTTCCTTTCCTTTCCTTTCCTTTCCTTTCCTTTCCTTTCCTTTCCTTTCCTTTCCTTTCCTTTCCTTTCCTTTCCTTTCCTTTCCTTTCCTTTCCTTTCCTTTCCTTTCCTTTCCTTTCCTTTCCCCTTTCCTTTCCTTTCCTTTCCTTTCCTTTCCCCTTTCCTTTCCTTTCCTTTCCTTTCCTTTCCTTTCCTTTCCTTTCCTTTTTCTCAGAACCTCTTTCTATTCATTCACAACCAAGAAGCCAAATCCTGCTTTTTGTCCTTTCATGATGCCAATACCATCACCCAAATAAGCACTGTTTCAGATAAGAATCCGCATTCAGCCACTCATACTTGGTAAAAAAAGAGTAATCCTATAGCACTTATCTCCTTAATTGCTTTCAATTTGACTCTTAAATGTTTCTTTTAATGCAACATCAAAAAGAAACATTTTAAAAAATTTCTAAGGATAGCAGGTTCTGGGCTCATGTCATCTAGTTTTAGCACAGAGATCTATACTTGTGCTAGTTACATAGATAAACTCTTCAGTCAAGAAAGAGAAATAGGTGCTTCTACATCACATTTCATCTGACTTGCTTTTAGAATAAGATGATGCCCCAGAATTTTTTTTTTTTCCAATTCCTTTTTTTGGCTGCTGAACAGATTCAATATCCTGATTCCTGTCCACTTGTTTTGGTTTTCTTCCACTTGGAGAAAAGTCTTGTCTTTTCAGTGACCATCATCTGCAAGCTGCTAAAAAAGAAAAAAAGTGTTATCAGTTAAGTTAATTTTTCATAATCCTTCTTCATGACACTGCATAAAATGAGTTAGATTATGGTATTGAAGATGAAAAGAACTGCTCCCAGGGACTTCTACCTAGCGGGCACTCAGCTTGGGTCTCTGTTATACATCCTGCTGTTGGTTAAGCTGTTGTGAGCTGTGTCATCTCATGGAAGTGATCTGAGTTTTTTTTTATTTTTCCTTTCTTTTATTACTGCAGATATAATTTAATAGTGAATTAAATATTTAACTCTTCAGGGAAGAAATTATTTGTTTGTCTTACTCCAAAAAGTGCCTAGTACATGCTTAAGGACTAGTGGAAATCATACAGGAGAGGAGCAACAGTAACATAAGTTTTTAACGAATAACTTTCGAAACAATGCAGTTTTCCTGGATTTGCTCAAGCATAAAAAACAATCCTCTCATTTCCTCTCAAAATAACAATTTATTCATGCAGTACATTTATGTAACTAAGCACCATCTTTACTCTCAGCAGGCACCATTCTTCTTCTTGTGTAATATCTGGGAATGATTCCCATTTCCTACCTTGAAATTAAAAATTCTTCAGAGTCACAGTGAAAGGGGAATATTGTTTTTAGATAAATATAACTGAAAGGTTTGTTGTTGACATTGTTCATTTTCACTTTTGTTTTAATGAGATATGTATAACTGTGTGATATATATGTATGTATAGATATACATAATGAATAATATTCCCTGATAAACATAGCTCGTGTTAATGTTATATTTGACAGTGTGATGTTCAAAAGTTTCCAGACTTCTTAGACTTTAGTAAGCCTTCTTATACTTTACTAAACCAGGAAGATTTACATAAATTATCAGTATTATTGGTCCAAAATCTAAAACTATCAGCAATTCCACTTAACCTCTTGCATGAAGTGGTCACTTAAAGGAACACTTTTTAAATCCCAGTTTTCATAGATACTGAAAAAAATAAGTTTATTCTGTTTGAATATTCCTTTTAAATTCCTTCCTAATTCCTATAGCCATCATCAACCATAAATGTAATAGTTTTAGAAGACATTATAGTGGAGAAACTAGTTTGAACCTAAAGTTCAGCTTGTACTAAAAAATAAGACGAAGTAAGGACAAAAGACAGGTTCTACATATAACTTGCCCGTGTCTTCTCTTTCAGCACAAATGTAACTGTTTATGCACTGAGTGCACAATACATAGAAATAGAAATGAAAGAGGAACTAGTACCTACATAAATAGTCTATCAGAAAGTTCTCCTGAGTAGGTAAAGAGAAGTCAAAATTTGCAGCTGTGGAAATATGGCAAGCAATTAGAAAAGGATTCAACTAAGGGAATATTTATCTGCAAATAATAGCTGGCTGCCAGAAAACACCAGAGTCAACAGTTTTGGTGCACTTGATATTTTTATAGTCTAAATTTATCCAGGAAAAAGTGTCTAAACTATTAATGTTAGACCCAGTGAGACTTCACAGTGTTTAAAAATGAAAGATAAGATACATTTTTTACCAGGGGACTTGGGAGAATAGGGAAAATATTGAAGACAGTGTTTCTTTTAGAGTCAAGGACTGACTTCTGCAGTTTCAGAAAACTGTCTTATGTGAAAAAAATTTGCTTAAGGTTTAGACCTATGGCAAAACAATCAGAAGGGTGCTATTGGAAAAGCCAGGAAAAAATCTGTGAAACTGTCAGAATTTTCCAGACAGACTGACACTTCTGGATAGAGTACAGTACGCTGACCCCATGGACACAATAACGAATCCAAAATACTACATGAGTAAGTCCTCATGCAGAGTGAAGGAGGAGTCTACAAAAACAGCCCATGGAATTGCATGATGTGTGGCAAAGCCAAATCAAACCAGCATAACACCTGGCACTTGGAAAAAGAGGTAAAAGAAACTACTGTGTATTAGATCACCATAAGAGCAGCACAAACAACAGAATGATGACTGCATGCTTTTCTAACAGGAATTTTTTCAATGGCACAGTGTACAGCAAAAAGTACAGCAAAAGAAGACAAAATTGCTGTTGGCCTGAAATCAGATGGAACATTGCTTAATTTAGGATGGCAGAACTACTCAAAGCCATGGTTGTGCATACAGCAGTGCTAATGCTAGTTGTGTATATACTGAAAGAAAAAACCTGCATGAATGAGATCAAAGATTTAAAATTGGGGCTTGCGGTTATGACCATATCCACACTAAGTGATTATTAACACTAAATGTATGGGCAAATAAATAGATACACTCTTTGTAGTAACATCAAGTGGAAAAACAATGTGTTGCATTAGTAAACTTTCATGCACTCCTTTTTTTTTTCTTAATCAAACGAAGGCTCCCTATGGAGGGACAAGAGCCCAGATTGACTGAAGTCTAAGAACTTCTTCCAGGGATACAGAAAAGCTCCTGACAGATCAAAAATTATTAATGAAGGAACACAGTCTTCTTATGACTCATTACAGCTTCAGTTTCCTTTTCCCAGGCACAATTAAAAGAGGTTAACATAGTCCTCTGTCAATCAGAGAAAGAAGAACCAGTAAACACCAGCATTCGGTAAAAAAAAAAAAAAAAGACGTATATCTCTGTCCAGTTTCTACCTCTGAACTTGATTCCTGCTGTCTTCAATGGCATACAGTCTCAACAGGACTGATTGATATATTTTTTGTTTTTATTTTTCCACTTGACACAGCTGCAGGTTTCTAACAAATATTCTGAGAAAAAACGGAATCTGAAATTCAGCACTCCCTCAAAGGGTTGCCGTTTCCTCAGACTCTTCTTTGCATCGTGCTTAACACATGAGACTTTCCACTGAAATGAGTGTGCAACATACCACATGCATGCAAAATGTTTTTAATGTGCAGAAGGTAAAGATCTTTTTATGTAAGAACAGCTGCTCCCTCATCATCTGTGCAAGTCATGTTA